TTGCAGCTTCGGCTTTTTGTTGCTTCTTCAGTTTGCTTTTGTTATTTGACGTTTTTGCTTTGTTTCATTTATTTATTTTTTTTTTTATTTCATTTTTATGATTTCGTTGTTATTTGTTCTCATCCTTCAGGGCAGCTGCCCACTTTTGACACTTATTTTTGACAGCTTAAGGACATTTGAGGGTCATGCACTTAACATGAGTGCGGGATTCTGAGCCGGGCCTGGGCGGGGCTGGGGCTGGTCGTCTCGTTGAATTTCAAAATTGTTTGCATGTCTGAGATTTGTGGCAGTTTATTATGAATATACATAAATATGGCTAGGTACATTTATATATAGAGAGGGAAAGAGAGAGAGAATTGTGTGTAAGTCAGCTCGTGTTGTTTGGGGGGCGGGAGGCATGGCTGACTGGAGAGCTAGGCAAACCGCATTCATTATGAATGAACGGGCGCCTGGCTGTGCGCCCACATTTTTTGGCTCCCTCCGACATGCATTTGGTGTGTGCGTGCGTGAGTGTGTGTGTGTGTGTGGACAACTATTTACTAATGGTAGTCGGGTTGGCTGACGACTTTATTGAACCTATGCACAGGCAACGGCTGCTGCTGTAATTAAATTAAATTATGCTCTATGCTGTTGGCAAGGCAGCCGTTGCTCTAGCTGCTCCTGCTTCTGCTCCTGCTCCTGCTCCGGCTCCTGCTTTCCCCGTCTGGCAGTTTTCAATGCTTTGCCGCATTAAAATTTAGTGTTGCTTTTAAGTGCCGGTAATAAGATATTTTGTATGCTTCTGGGCATTGGACAACACATCAGGCGCAGAGCCATGTGCTTTACGCCCCCCACTCTCTGTCTCTCTCACTCTCACTCTCCTGCTCTGCCCCTCTGTGTGTGACAAAAGCAGTTTGCATAATTTAAAAGGCCTAAAAAGCAACTATAAGTTTCGCCTGGCATTAGATATTTTTGGCAAAGATGTTGCACACACACACACTCAAACACACACACACACACATTTGACTAGGGCTTTAGATGGCTTGGGTTACTGAGCTCCCTCTAAGTCTTTGCCCATTCGTGTTCACAGTTCGGTTTACAAGACCACAGAAAAGGGTTGCGACAATTTGAGCATTATATGACAACAGCTGCCTAATGCCAAACCCGAAACACAGATGCCCATCATAAGCATGAAATAAATTCCTAAACTGTTCTAATTAAGTGGACAAAAAGGCAATCGTCAAGGGTCTGCACTCAGCTGTACTCGAAGTAAGCAGCAAAGCTTTGCTCCATCAATATGGAAATGCGGAA